TTTTTCAGCTTTGGCGTGGCTGAGCAGAAAGAGTGCAGCCACCCACCCTCCTTGTGTAGTGGGTTGTGTCTTTTAGCTGGTTTTGAGGTGCTTGCCTTTTTTTTCCCCTTTTTTCATTCTTCTTTCTGCCTTTTTTTTTTTTCCTCCAGAAACGGCTTACAAACCATGAGAAGTCATTGCTGCTGCTGCCAGCAGGAATGTACTAACTCAAACTGAACCCCCCAAGAAGGACGCAGCTGTCCAGGCCCCTGGCTGCAGGGAGGGTCTGAGCCTGGTACTGATATCAGAGAACAGTGTGAAAGACACCTGTGTGTGGTGTCAGCAGGAGAATGATCTGCTCTGTCCAGTGTCAGAACTTAAGGAAGAAGTGGAAAGGCTGAGGAGCATCAGGGAGAGCGAAACAGAAATAAGCTGGTGGAGTTACACCTGTCCAGTCCTCAGAGAAGCTCAGCAGAAGTCCTGCCCTTCTTGTGATCAGGCAAGAGGAGACCTAAGAGAAAGTGGGGAATGGAAACGGGTCTCTACTGGGGAGGTAAAAAAATTCTGTCCTGATGCCCATCACCTACCCAGGTGCCCTGAGAGAATAGGTATGAGGCCCTGGCTCTAGAGTGTCTGGCAGATGACACTAAAGAAAAAATTCTGTCTGGAGAGTCTCCCAGTTGCATTTGTCTGTCAGACACATCACGGCCTCAAGTATTAAGAAGAAGGGTAGTGGTAGTAGGTGACTCCCTTCTAAGGGGAGCTGAGGGCCCTGCAGATCGACTGGATCCATTCCACAGGGCAGCGTGCTGCCTCCCTGGGGTCCAGGTACTGGATATCACCAGGAGATTCCCTAATGACTAAATGAACTTCATCTGTTCACCATACAGTGACCGTGAAAGAATAGAGTTCTCAATATTCAGCGAAATAAGGACAGGCATCAACAAAACTTCCACTCTGGACTTCTGGAGGGCAGATTCAGCCTGTTCAAGAGATGGATTTGGAGAGTACCTTGGCAAACAGCCCTTAAAAACAAAGGGGTCCAGGAAGGATGGATGTACTTCAAGAAAGAAGTCTTGAAGGCACAGGAACAAACTGTCCCTGTGTGCTGAAAGATGAGCTGATGGGGAAGACAACCAGCCTGGATGGGCATGGAGCTTCTAAGGGAACAAAAGAGGGCGCATCACCTTTGGAAAGAGGGGCTGGCAACTCAGGAAATGTTTAAGGATGTTGCTATGTCATGTAGGAAGAAGATTAGAGAGGCAAAAGCCCAATTAGAACCTGAGGAAATCCAGTCATTGCAATCAACCTTTCCTTCCCAAAATGCCATCCTTGGCTGGAGTATAAACGGAACTGGAATGCTCAGTGCTGAGCTCCTGAAGCCCAGGGACACACACCCTAGGGCCAGGGATGGTTTACTTGGCCTAAACCATTCAAAAGCACCAACACCCCCCCTCTGAGGCCACACGTCAGTTTCAGTCTTGGGCCATGTCTCTCACTGAAAGGTATCTTTCAAACCAACCTCCTCTTCTCTTCATTCTCGTATTCCTCAGTAGGCAAAGTCTTCCACTGGAAGTGGGCTGTGATGTTACTCCTGTTTTCAATGAACACGGTTGTGTGGTTTGACATGCCAATGAAAGTCTTGCCAACGTCCACGGAATTTGTGCTCAATCCAATCTTGAGATCTACAGCTTGTCCATGGAGGTTTGTCTGGATACTTTCTTCACCTGGAACAAAGCAAAGGAGTCTTTGCTCAGCTCCCTGGCTGACAGAAACACAAGGAACAGAGCAAACCACAGGTTGCAGAAGGAGGTGTCACAGTTTTTAGCTGAATGAGCAGTTCTGTGGATCAGTACGTTTAGCACATCCTGACAGCTCTGGGTGTACAGAGTGAGGATGTCCTGGGCACCTCCTTAAACTCTTT